GCTGTGCCCTGTGGCTCGTGACCCTGCTCCACTGGCCACAGCTGTTTGCACCAGGACCTATGCCGTCGTTAAGGGCAGCCATCCTTTGGGTAGACATAAGGGAGGCCAAAATAATCCACTAGAATAATCTCTACCCAATCAGGAAGATCTTTTTGGTTTACTCAGATCCTCTTTCAGGAGCAGTAGGAGTAGCAGACAGAAATGCACAGAGAGAAGCTGGAAAACACATGAAGAAGAGTATGCATACTGTGACTACGTAGCAATGGGCAGCCATTTCAAAGATGAGGACACAGCCCAGCCATGTGAGCTGCTGTGTCCTTACGTGACAAAGAGCCATTTTTCAGCTCTCCAAGCAGTGCCTTGGAGGAGATGGCTGCATTACGGTCCTCTGTATTCTGAAAATAAGCCTCCAGCATTTAAGATAACACGAATGTGCCTTTGTTCCTTGCAACTAAAAGGAGCCTGTCCAAATTTATCTTAAAAAAAAAAAATCCAGACCTGCAATATACAACACAGGAAACCAAATAATTCAGGGATAAAAAATACTACATTACTACACTATACGGGGCTATACGGTCTGAGGTTTTGGCATTTACTTTAATACAGGGAATTTTTAAAATGTGCAGCGAAAATTACTACATAGCTGTTCAGAAGATAAATGAGAATGTGAATAGTTAAGCACCCACAGAGTCTTCTCAATGCCATTTAAAAAGCAAGCATTCTTCCAACTGTAATTTAACTCAAGAATCAAGGGGAAGTTAGGAAGGTATTAACAACTCTGCTTATTTTCCTAGGCTCTTTACATGAAAGCAAATTTCAGTTTAAGTTCATTTTTAAAGATACCTCAATTAAAGATATTGTCTCTCTATATATATTTGTGAATCTTTTTGTCATAACCTAATAGGTTATTAGGAAGATGATATATATTGTACCTAATTCAACGTGAAAAAGGAAACCAGGATGAGCTCCTTAAGTTGTTGATTGAGGTATGAGAGCTGTCTCTTGTCAATCTGAAAATCGGTGTAAACACATAAGCTTCCAATTATTGACTTAAGAAAATTGCAATAAAAATCACATGAAGTAGGGGCATCTTGGTGGCTCAGTCGCTTAAGTGTCTGCCTTCAGCTCAGGTCATGATCCCAGGGACCTGGGACTGAGCCCCGCATCGCATGGGGTTCCCTGCTCAGTGGGGAGCTTGCTTCTCCCTCTCCCTCTGCCCCTCCCCCAGCTCCTGCGCACGAGAACGCGCGCGTTCTCTCTCTCAGAAATAAAATCTTAAAAAAAAAAAATCACACTAAGCACTAATAATCACTCTGGTTTCCTTGGCATCCAAGTATTTTTTAAAAGCTTAACACTTACCAGCAGTTATTATTTTGAAGTTTAGAATTTCTTATCTTTGCACTTTCAAAACACTAAGCAATTTTAAGTATTTGTGACAAGTCTGTACAGTAGTTCGCTATTATCTTGAATTTACAGCTGAGAAAAGATTTAAAAAGGAATTTTTTAAGGATATATAATGAATCAGTGGCAGAACTAGGATACAAATATTTGACTTTCTAGGTCAGGAAAATTAGTCAAATCATTTAGATAAATGCATTTTTAATACATTTCCCTATTATACCACTGTTCTGGAAATCTCTGTAAGAAGACAAAGTCTTTGCCTGAAAGTTGATTCATTATTTCTCCTTTGGCAGTAGAAAATAGCTTGCAGATGGTACAACTGTGTGTTTCAGGGAACAAGCACTTTAACTGGGTATTTAAGAGATTGGGGATGTTTCCCTACAATAAATATATCCACTCACAGAAGACCTTTGAGGCGTTAAGAAGGGGTTATAAAACCAAATGGATCATAGGTGTGCTTACAATATAAACTCAAAAGAGTACCAGAAAAGAAAACAAACATGCTATAACTTATAGAGAACTACACGTTTCCAGGGTAGTTTTCTTCTGAAGACATAAATTACAATACTTCATTTCCAGTTGAAAATATTTCCCTAAGCAGTATCTGTACAACCTCCATTTCCTTTATGGTTCCGCTTCTTTCATTCATGGTTCTAGATACTCCAAGTAAACCTGGCATATAACATTAAAACTACTATGATTCCAAGTCTCTACTTTGAACAGTACTTTCCTATATTAAGATTTCTGAAAGTGGAAGTTTTAAAATACATCTTGTGGCTACAAACACTGCCACATAACTCTTCTTCACAAAACATTAGTCATTATTTAATATTAAAATCAGGTATTTATGACTTGGTGCAGTTATAATCAGGGTGACAATACAAATAGCTTAATAGGTAGCTAGTATTATGACACATTTTAATTCTGAAAGCCCACTGTTAAACACAGTATTTTCTATTTGAATTCTATTTAATAAGCTTCAATTTCATATTTAAAGCAAATCAAGTGATTCACACCCAACCTTCATAATATATTCATGGAAAACTTGCTATCATCTAAAGCATACACTGTGTCAGATGTAGCCATATAACACCTCACAACTGTTTAGTATGATTTTGTTACTCTACGGGCGCCTGGGTGGCTCAGTCAGTTAAGCGGCTGCCTTCTACCCAGGTCATGATCCCAGGGTCCTGGGATCAAGACCCATATCGGGCTCCCTGCTTGGCAGGAAACCTGCTTCTCCCTCTCACTCTGCCTGCCCATCCCCCTGCTTGTGTGCTCTGTCAAATACATAAAATCTTAAAAAAAATTTTTGTTACTCTTAACTTTCTACATTTTCTGCTGTTAAGATTCAGGCTGTATTTGGGGCGCCTGGGTGGCTCAGATGGTTGAGCGTCTGCCTTCGGCTCGGGTCATGATCCCAGGATCCTGGGATCGAGCCCTTCATCGGGCTCCCTGCTTGGCGGGGAGCCTGCCTCTCCCTCTCCCACTCCCCCTGCTTGTGTTCCCTCTCTCTGGCAAATAAAAAAAAAAAAGATTCAGGCTATGTTCAACTGGCAAAAATTACAGATTGATAACAAGTGTAATGGAGATGTGGAGAGTCCCTTGTAAATACTGGTAGTAGGAATGTAAATTGGTAATCTTTTTGGAGTTCAATTTGGCAATAATTAAAATTTTTTATATATATATGTATGTGTATATATACACACATACACTGTCCAACACGCAAATTCATGTGTAGATTTATCTAACAGAAATACCAACCTAAAGTGAGCCAAGATACACACACAAAAGTCAACACAGCATTATTTGAAATAGTGAAAAATGAAATGAACCTGTGCAGAGAAGAGGCACCAGCGCAAGTCTGAGATTGCAGTCCTTAGGCCTGCTTACAAGGCTGGCCCTTGGCTGACATCTGGGAACTTGGCTGGTCAACTGTTCCCTACACTGAAATAAAGCTTTCCCTGAAAACCCAAACCTGTATATGAAGCCATTGTGGAAATGACCTACTTTACAACCCAGAGCACCACCCTGCACTGAGACTCAACCGGTTTTAACCTTTCCTTACTGCTTAAGTCACTGCAAAATAGGGTTTTACTGCTTGCGGTCAGAAGTACTCCTCTGGATTTCCATTTCTGTTGGCTTATATAAAATGACACTGAAATTATAGGCAAGAGCCCTAAATTTGTATCCCAGATGCATCACTTACTAACTCTGTGAATGTGGGCAAGGCACTTACCATCTTAAGATAGTTTCTCCATTGTACAAGTGAAATGATACTTTTTCTTTTGCTTAAGTATTATGAAAAAATAGAGGCCAACTCACTGTGTTAGCGGTACAATGTTTGTAAATGTTAATGATCAGACAAGTTTTAGCAAATAACCTAGTACAAGAGGCCAATGTTATCTCCAAGTGCCTCAACACTAGAATGTTTAAATCCCAGAAGCTCTGTCCAACACCCACATTATGAAAACTGCCCCATCTACTACCAGGAATATCTGAAATCAGAGGAAATAATTTTGTTTAGTAGCTAATGTGATAGCATACATTCTAATAAACAAAAGTTTACTTGGGCTAGCATCAGTATTTTTATTTTAAAAGATTACAGATTTCACACATTTTTACTTACAAGACATTTGCAAAATTACTGAATATACAATGCTGGAAAACAACATGGAGTATAATCAACTGTAAGACAGGCTGAGCCAACCACATGATGTGGAGATAGTCTGCTAGTGGCAGCAATTCAAACATGGCTTAAGTGATCTCCATTTAAATAAGTGAGAAATTAACAGAGGCACATCCACAAAGCTTAGAAATCTTTTTCTGTATCATCTATTCTGTACCATAGACACATTCTGGAATTTACATTGCCACTCTTAAAGGTTTTGTTAGAAATAATCAGTATTTAGTATTTAGTAATTAGTATTTGGTATTCAGTCAGTTAAGTGGCCAACTTTTGAGGATTCTCCCACCCTCTCCCTCTGCCCCACCAGCTACACACGTGTGCACATGCGCACTCTAAAAATAAATCTTTAAAAAAAATTAATATTTAGTATTTAAATGTTGTATTTAAATAACGTACTGAACTAATCATACATGTATACATATGGACACATGCATACATATATCTATACATACACAAACATACACATATATATACATAAATGTTAGGCCAAAGGGAGCTTTAAAACAAGCACCAAAGACTAATTGATTGCAGAAGTAGAAACTGGGCTTCCTAAATATCAATCATGTAAGTACTGACCACTGAAGTTTCATATGTTCAAAAATAAAGCAAATAAGGCAAAAACTGTATTGCACTTAACCATACAATATATAAAATAGTTAATACACATCATAAACAAATGCATTACCATACTATAAATGTAATTAGCCACTTGCATGTAATAAATATTACCTCAAGAACAAGTATTTTAAATAGCTAATATCAGAACTGTAAGAAGTATAACATCACAAAAAGTTATAGGAAACAATAACCTGCAAATAACAGGATTATTTCTATTACATTCTAAATCCAAATTTTATTTCCATTTATGCAGATTTCATAAAAGGAAATGTTAAAATTAAATCTTGAAGTAAATTCTTATTTCTAATTTTTTGTTCCTTTATAAATCTAGAGCAATGTTAAGATATTGCCATTTCAGAGAAATAACCTATAGTTTCCCAGTAACCTATAGTTTCCCAGAAGAATTATTTTTAATACTGGCAGTCTTCCTGTTCAATATACAAAATATAAATCTTTTCTTCTGTCAGAGATGTCAAAATTAAGAATTCTTCACCGGGTTCTTTGTTCTGTATTTTCTTTTCCTCTTGGGCACAGTGAACTCTAAAGACATAAAATTAAGTCTGTCAGGTCTACAAAATAATACTTTAACTGATAATACATTTAAACGATACAGCTGTTTAATTGGAATGCCCTCACAACAAAGCTCCAACAAGAAATCCTAAACCTAACATATACATGATTCTTTCCTTCAAAATGATACTGCAGTTGAAAACTTGCTGAAGTTTTCCTAAATCCTTCCTAGTCTTCCTAAATCCTATTTAATAATAAGCTACTATGAAGTGGTTTCATATGGGTATGCTCTCCCTAAACTACAAGCCGGTGCAATGAGAGACAGAGTGATTAAGATTTGAATTTCACTTCAATTAAACCTGAAAATGAAACCCAAATCACTAGTACCATACATCTTTTTTTATTTTTATTATTATGTTCAATTAGCCAGCATATAGTAAAACACATCATTAGTTTTTGATGTACTGTTCAACGATTCCTTAGTTGCGTATAACACCCTGTGCTCATCACCACATGTGCCCTCCTTAATACCCATCACCCAATTACCCCACCTCCCTCCCTTCTGTAACCCTTAGTTTGGTTCCCAGAGTCCAGAGTCTCTCATGGTTTGTCTTCTCTGATTTCTTCCCAGTTTTCCCTCCCTTCCCCAGTGGTCCTCCGTGCTATTCCTTATGTTCCACATATGAATGAAATCATATGATAATTGTCTTTCTCTGCTTGACTTATTTCACTTAGCATAATCCCATCCTGTACATCTTTTTGGCTATGACAGCAGATGCCACAACCAACACTCAAATAAGTGTTTATCTAGAAACAGCTGTGAACCTAAAAATTACAAATCATTAAAAACAAAGAAAACAGAAAATACAAAAACATGAAAATTATGAAAGATGTAAAGAAACAAAATATTCCCCACTAACGAAAAACAAAAGAAGAGTGATAGGAAAAGGAACGAGAAAAGACAAAGGAAAAAGTATGAAGAAAAAGAGATTCCAGGAATCTTCTAGGTTCCTAGAAGACAGCAGCGGCCAGGATGGAGTGCAGCAGGCCAAGAGAGCAAACTGTCCAGTAAAGCAGGTCAGAGGTCAGCAAAAAAGTTCTTTAAAAATATGAAAATGACAAAATCCCTAATGTGTTTGAATATCCCAAGAGGAGATTTACACAACTGAGGAAGAGTTTGAAGATAAATTCGTGTTAAGTCTATAGAAAAAATAAATTAGTAAGACAAAAAGTTATCACTCTCTAGGGAAAACAATAAATGTACAGAGTCATAGTACATTACATGGCTCTGTGGTCAATAACGTTCTATTAATGCAGAATACCTACACAGCTGAAGTAATGATATTGGAAGGCTGGGGCCTGGGAAGCATACATGTGTTTGAAGTGGGAGGTGAAGAATATATTAAAGAAAACTATACCCTTGCCTTCCCCAGTGGAAAGTCAAGATATAATCCACAGAATTAAAACATAAAGAAGTGATAAAATATAAATTTTTTAAAGATATAAGAGGTAAATACCAAAACAATAGTCAAAAGTGATGAACCGTTGAACACCACATCAAAAACTAATGATGTACTATATGTTGGCTAACTGAACATATTAATAAAAAATAAATAAAAATTAAAAAAGAAAGAAATGGGAGTCAAAGTCAGAAGACTGTGGTTTCTTATAATGAATATTATAAAATTATCTGAATTAAGTCATATGTGTATGTCATTATAATTTAACCAAATTTTTAAAAATCACAGATTTTATTTATTCTTTTTAAAGATTTTATTTATTTATTTGACAGAGAGAGACACAACGAGAGGGGGCACACAAGCAGGGGGAGTGGGAGAGGGAGAAGCAGGCCTCCTGCTGAGCAGGGAGCCTGATGCGGGGCTCGATTCCAGGACCCTGGGATCATGACCTGAGTTGAAGGCAGACGCTTAACGACTGAGCCACCCAGGCGCCCCACAAACTAACAGATTTTAAAATGGGACTTGCCAAAGATTCATAAAAGTGTGTTTGTTTATTTAACTGTTTACTCACAAAAAAAGTTACCAATCAAGACTGGAAAGAAACTACAGTCTAAAACTCATCACAAGATTGTAAAGGACTATTCTGACTATTTTATGCTGACATCAGCAAATCACAGAAGCACATTTCTGAAGGAACATTCCTTGTAAAATGTCTATTCTTTGTCTTCTATATACTTCTGTAACACCGTTTCTATCAACCATAACGAACTGGGCTATTTTTCTCCCTTACTAAACTCTAAGGTCCTTGAAGGCACAGACTGATCAGATTCATTCAACAAATATTTACTTAAGTCCACTATGGGCCAGTCACTGTGCTCAGATCCATAATAACTGTGATCAAAATAAAATGGTTTTTAAATTCCAGTAGTATATATCTTTATACCCTGTACATAGCTAAGTGTTTGAAACATGGCAGGCACTCCGCAAACGCTTGCTGAATGAATATAAAACCAAATGGAAAAAAAAAAGTCATTAGGCATTATTAACACACATTATATTATCATTGATGGATTACCAATTATCAAGCCTAGCCTGCTAAATATAACTTATTCTCTGTAATACTATAATTATTACTAGAGACAGTATTATTTAAACTGTTTTTAGGGGCGCCTGGGTGGCTCAGTCGTTAAGCGTCTGCCTTCGGCTCAGGTCATAATCCCAGGGTCCTGGGATCGAGCCCCACATCAGGCCCCTGCTCAGCGGGAAGGCTGCTTCTCCCTCTCCCACTCCCCCTGCTTGTGTTCCCTCTCTGGCTGTGTCTCTTTCTGTCAAATAAATAAATAAAATCTTAAAAAAATAAACTGTTGTTTAATAAACACTACAAATTATGAAAACTACAACACTAAAAGGTATAGCCATTTTATGTCATGCAATTTACAACTATTTAGTTACAATTATCATTCCATAGGTGAAAATTTTACATTCAAATTTGAAATAACTATTTTTTAACAATAAAATCTCTTTAAAGTTATATTCAGAAATTTGTATTTTGTGAACCAGACATCCTCATGATGAGGTATATTCACATACTAATAACGGTATTTTACCTATCCTTCACTTCTCACCCCAACTGACCACTACCTCTACTTTCCACTTATTTATTGTATTAACATTTACTTTTAAGTGTCATGATTAATACTAAAATTCTCTAATGTGTGAAAGAAAAAAGCATCACAAGAACACAGAGCTAACCACCATGCTCCTCAAGGGTTCTAAATCTTAATGCTCTCCGAGCATAACTTTTCATCAGTATTTGACAAAATTTCATCTGTACCTGTTTCACTAACACTTTCATTGTCCTCTTCTTCTTCTGTAATTACAGGCATACTCAGCCTTAACGATTTATCTTCTTTATGTACATTCTGCATGTTATCTGGAAATAGTTGGGAAAATAATTTCATACAAAAACGAAGAATGTTAATCTTTGAGAAAAATTTTTACACAAAATAATGTCATTACTACAACATAAAAATTAGATATTTAAATGCGAAAATTGGAATGGTAAAGAGAAATATGCATTTTAAAATACATATCTATTTTTAAGTATTATTATATTTGTATCTCTGCTTTGAAAATAATCTAATTCTTACCATTAAAGTAAAGGAAGAAAAGGGAAAAAATGACAATATTATTTAAACTGTTGTTTTTATTTATTTATTTATTTTTTAAAGATTTTATTTATTTATTTTGACAGAGAGAGACACAGCGAGAGAGGGAACACAAGCAGGGGGAGTGGGAGAGGGAGAAGCAGGCTTCCCGCCGAGCAGGGAGCCCGATGCGGGGCTCGATCCCAGGACCCTGGGATCATGACCTGAGCCAAAGGCAGACGCTTAACAACTGAGCCACCCAGGCGCCCCTTAAACTGTTTTTAATAATCACTACTCAAGCTTTATCACACACATTATGGGTTATATCTGCAGATATCAGGGAATAATTGTGTGTCTTACTTCAACTTTATTAACTAATCACAAATGTAATTCTAAAGGTAATAGCCTTGTTTTTAAATGTATACTTTCTCTTCTCACTACATCTGCTCTACAAAATAGATTTCTCTAATCATAATTTGCCACTGACTTACCATTTTCCAAAACATTTTTCTACATCAACCTTCTGGTGCCTAAAGAAATATCCTAATCAAATTTATCAAATACCATTGTCTTATCAGGTCTCACTTAGCACTTAACTTTCAGGTCCCAACAGTAATGCCCACATACATTCTCACTCCTTATGCTGCCTTATTCTTCTCTACAATACTTTCACCACCTGATCTATTATTACATGTTAATTTTTTTTCTCTATGGTCTGCCTCCTCCCACTAGAATGTGAGTTTCACAAGGATAGACTTTGGCTTAAGTCAATGTATCCCCAGCACTTAGAAAAGTGCCTGGCATGCAGTAGGGCCTCAATAAATATTTATTAAATGATTAAATATGGGTTCAATGATTTTATACCACAGTATTTTATTTAGTACATGTTAATACATACCTATCAGCACTTCTCAGAAGGCAAGAAATTAAAATGAAAATAAGCTTAAATTTTCTGCTCTGAACACATATATGCTGAGATCTTAATGGGGTATAGAGTATATGGAATAGACTGCTCTAAGGTGGAGTTGAGTAAACTGCAGCCATAAGCTTCCATTTAAATACAATTTAAACTTGATAATAAAAAAATACCAGTTTCCTATTAAGTCATTAAAGCAGAATTCTACCTTTACTTGCAAATCATAAATATTAATTACAGTAATTTATTACATGATTTTTAAGATGGTAGATAATGTTTTAGGAAATCTCTTTTTACATCTAATCACGTTTTTTAAAACTTGAACCTATAAAATTTTCCAGTTCACAAAACTGCAATCAGTACAATCTACCCAAAGTTACTGATACTGTTCTTCACAACCTTTTAGCATGTCCATCCATATCCATTATTAATTTTTCCCTAAATCCACATTTACAACTTGAAAGAGTCTATCTAACGTCAAGGTAAGGATTTCTGAGTTAAAAACAGATAAGGTGAGGGGCACCTTAGTGGCTCAGTCAGTTAAGCATCTGCCTTCTGCCTTCGGCACAGGTCATGATCCGAGGAGCCTGGGATCAAGCCCCACGTTGGGCTCCCTGCTCAGTGTGGAGTCTGCTTCTCCCTCTCCCTGCACCCCACTCATGCTCTCTCTCCCTCAAATAAATAAATAAATAAAATCTTAAAAAAAAAAGAGTTAAGAAACAAGTCTTCATCTAGTCACATGATGATTGTGTTTTAGAGATGGATCTCTACATTAAGTATGTTTAAAAAATAAAAAGCAATGTTCTCTAAAAGCTCTTAAAAACAAATACAGTGCTTCACCCACCTAACATGCAGCCAGGAACCAAGAAGTAAACATACAAAACTTCAGATGTTTAACTCAAAATCCACATATTAAATAAAGCTCGTGAACTTTAGTCACCAGTATGTTCCGCAGGCCTTTATCCAGAACCTGATTATATTTATTTTACATAAAACTGAAGTGAACGGCCAACCAGTTTCTGAAACCATTACAGTTAAACAGCAGCAAAAGGGAAAAAAAAAATGCTATAAGCCACAATGAGAACCGGAAGAAGACACCTACCACAATAAATGTAACAGAAAAACTTTTTAAAAAATAAGACATACAAACTGACAAATCTTGGATGTGATAAAGAACCAGTTCTTAAAAGTTAATCTCAGAGTTTATGAAAATGTTTTAGATAACTACATTAAGTAATAAAATATAGTTAGTGAAGGAAGTGATATTTTGTAAATTATACCTGCCAAATATTTAAGATAAAAAGAAACTTTCATTTAAGTTCTTTCCTATTTTGCACTTGCTCCTCCTTTGTTCCTTAGGCCACATAAAAACAAAACAAAAGAAAAACCTGTTTAGGTGTTTAAGAAAGCAGCTTGGCCAGCTGACCTCTCTGCACTTGTATGAAGGTTGATTACTAATAAAAACTGCTTGTGCAGCTTTCAAAACCCAAGTTATCTTTGATACCTTAGAAAAAACAATCCTGCAGAAGTTAATTTTTAAATATAATCAAACTAATCAGTCTTTTCCTCATGTCCTCTGGTTTGGGTTTGTTTGGGTTATTGATTTATACATAATAAAAGTCATCACGATTTTCAATGTACAGATTTAGGAGTTTGGACAAATGCAGTTGTGCAATTACCACTGCAACCAAATACGGAACAATTCCATCATATCAGAAATTTCCCTGCCCTTCTGCAGTCAACACCGCCCCCCACCCTCAGTACCTAGCCACCTAGGATGTTTTCTGCCCCTATAAATTTTGCCTCTTCCACATTGTCCTTATGCCTTTTGTGTCTGTCTTCTTTCTCTTATTTGGCACAAGGCACATGAGTCACCCACGCTACTACACGTATCAGCAGCTGCTTTATTCTTGAGTAGTATCCCACTGCACACTTATTCCATGGTTTGTTTATCCAAGGACCAGGTGAAGATATTTAGGCTGGCTATCATTTTTCACAATTATGTACAGAACCACTATAAACTTTTGCATACAACTTTTTGTGTGAATATATAAGTTTTCATTTCTTTTGGGTAAATACCAAGGAGTAGGACTGCTGGGTCATAAGTTAAGTGTGTGTTTAGCTTTATTAGAAACTGCTGAACAGTTTTCCAAAGTGACTATACCATTCTGGAGTCCCACCAGCAATGTATGAAGGTTCAACTGTTCTGTGTCCTATTCAGCTTTTGTTATTGCCTATTTTCTTGTTCTGTTTTTTGGTTTTCGTAGTCATTGCGACAGGGAGTAACAGAATGCCACTATGCTTTTAATTTGCATTTCCTAATAACTACAGATGTCAGACATCTTTCAAGATGTTTATTTGCCATGCACATATTCTTTTTGAAGTATCTGTTCAAATCTTTTGCCATTTTTTTAATTGGGTTATTACTAAGTGTTGACAGTTCTTTATATATTTGGATACAAGACCTCTATCAGGGTTGTATTTTGCAAATATTTTCTCCCACTCTGTGGCCTGTCTTTTCGTTTTCTTAAAAGTGTCTTCCAAAGAATTTTAATTTGAGGCAAGTCCAATTTATCAATTTTTTTCTTTTATGGCTTATATTTTTTATGTCATATATAAAAAAATCTTTGCCCAATCCAAGACATTTTTTATGTTTTCATCTTTAAGTTTTATGATTTTAGTTTTTATATTCAGGTCTGTAATCCATTTTAAGTTAATTTTTGTATATGATAAGAGGTCTAAGTCGAGGATCTGTTTTTTGCATATGGATATAAAATTGTATCAGCGCCATTTACTGAAGACTATCTTTTTCCACTGAATTGTCTTTGCACCTTTGTCAAAAATAAAATTGACCATATAATTACAAATCTATTTCTAGATTCCCTATTCTTTTCCATTGACTTGTGTGTCCACCTTTTTGCAGATAGCACACTGTCTTGATTTCTGAAGCTTTATAGTTATTTCTCAAAACTGTTTTGGCTACTCTAGTTTCTTTCCATTTCCATATACACTTAAGAATCAGCTTGTTATCCTGGGATCGAGCCCCACATTGGGCTCCCTACTCAGAAAGGAGCCTGCTTCTCTCTCTCCCACTCCCTCTGCTTGTGTTCCCTCTCTCTCCTCCACTCCCTCTGCTGTGTCGCTCTCTGTCAAATAAATAAAATCTTAAAAAAAAAAAGAATCAGCTTGTTTATTTATATAACTGTTGGGATTTCTTCTTGGGATTACATTTAATCTACAGAACAATAGGTGACTTAACTGTATTGGTCTTTTTTTTTTTTTACTTTTTATCTTATTATGTTATTTAATCACCATACATTACATTAGTTTTTGATGTAGTGTTCCATGATTCATTGTTTGTGCATGACACCCAGTGCTCCTTCAATACGTGCCCTCTTTAATACCCATCACCAGGCTAACCCATCCCCCCAACCCCC